AATTATTTAAAAATTGTAAACACATTGCTTGCTTTAATGTACTAATACTAAAAATAGTTTTTAAAAAATAAAAAAATATTATTAACATATATTTTAATAAAAAAATTATTTAAAAAATAATTGTAAACACATTGCTAAAGCTTAATTAGAGCATGCAAATATGAATTAATTACACACACAGTGATTTTTTCAACCTGTTCATACGGGAAGGAGGGCAGTGTCTCGTATAATTTCCTTGACTAGATTCATTCAAGCAATAATTACGCCGTATGATCTTAAATCTTGCAGGGAATAAAATTAATTACAACTTAAGTGCTTAAGCACACTGCTGACTATTTGAGACTGGAGCATGGATTGACCATATAATAAGATAATTTCTGGTAAATCTTATAATTATGAGGTGAATCTGTCGTATGTCTTTAATTAATTAAAAACATGAAGCCCGACTCTATATTGATTGTACAACAGCATTAAAGAAACGTAATCGTTTTCAAAGACTGGGCACCTGATTATATGATAAACTAGTCTGTTAAGGAAATCTAATACAGAGGTACTCAGAAGTAAATTGAAAAAACTCATGGCGATGAAATCAAAGAAAATAAACAGTAAATGTTAGCACTTAATTCCGTTTGCGTTACTTGGCTGAGTGTCTAAACATGGAAGAGCAGTGGTTTTGCCTGTGAGGTGTCAGGAGGCTCTTCATTGATAACTCACGATCAGGGTTGAGTGAACGCAACCTCTTTATAAGGAAATATCTGGTCCATAAATATTATTCAGCATTTTTTAGCACAGCGACTGTTCATCGCAATGTCTGGCAAAAAAGGTCAATTGCTAAAATTTCTCAGTCATCGTACCGGCTAGAGAATGCCATTACTTGATCATTCATGGAAAACTATGCTCGGAAAAGTTCTTGAAATTATCGTTCAATTGTTCTGTCGTGACGTCCTAGCAAAACGACTGAAATCGGACTGCCGTCGATAGTTTCAGTTCTACAGGAGGCGGTGTGAAAGAAAGGGCACTGTTAGCATCGTGATTAGTCTCGGTGCTTGTGTTTCGCTGCAGGGATAAATTATTGTTTTTTTATAAAAAAGAATTAGATGCTAGAATGAAGTAAAAAAATGATACGAAAAAACCGGCTGTGGAAAACTTATAAATAGTAATTAGGATTAAGTTTACTTGAAATATTTTGTTTAATCTACTATTTAAGTTATAAAATTCAAATAATTTAATAAAAAAATAAATAAAGTTATAAAATTGTTTTAACAAAAAATTATAATATGAGACATTAAATTTGAAGCACCTAATCTGAAAAAATTATAAATTTTAATTCTTAATCGTTAAATAATTTAATAAAAAATAAATAAAGTTATAAAAAAATTTTAACAAAAAATTATAATATGAGGCATTAAATCTGAAACACCTAATCTCAAAAAAATTATAAATTTTAATTCTTAATCGATCAAATATTGAATGATAAAATTAAAAAAATAATTTTAATTATATAAAATATTTTTAAAAATAACAATTAAAAAAATAAGATTTAAAATTAAAATACAAAAAAATTAACTAAATGTGAAATTAAAAAAATCAATGTAGTAAAATGATAAAAAAATAAAAAAGAATGAAAATCAAAATTGATATGAAAATAAAAACAATATTATGATTAAAGGGTGAGGTTAAAAAGAATAGTACTTTTTATAACACTCCAATAAAAAAAATAGAAAACAAAACAATAAAGATTAAATTAGAAAATACAATACTATCAATTTGAATCGAAAGATAACATTGAAAACTACTAGAATTTTTACAACATGATCAAATATCAAAATTAAAAATTCAAAGAATAAAGACCACATTAGAGAATATAACATGATGAACTTGAAAACAAATAATTTTTTTATAAAGAGATCAGTATCAAAATTAAAATTAAAAGAATCCCTTAAAATGTCAACAACCAATAGGGTCAAGTTATAATTTTTTAATGAGGAGAGAGAGAGAGAGAGAAAAGGAAAAAATAGATCAATCAATGCTAAACTGGACCACTAACAGAGATATGCACCTAACCACTAAAAAAAAAACATGATGATGTTTCCCACAATGTGGTGGAATGACATTTTTAGACGCTAGGAGACCTTGTAAGCACTCCCAAGTTCCATAAATGCATGCTTATCATTTTTTTATTTAGCCAGATACAAAATTTTCCCTAAGTTAGCTACGTAAACACAAATAAACTGTTATGAAAAACTGAAAATGCTCCTTCACCTTAAGTTTGGATTTTTTTTATGGTAATGATATTTTTGTAGTTTTACATTAATGACGATATCTAATGTAAAAAGAGATCATCTTTATTGTAGATCATGATGCATTAAGATATATAAACGGACAACATAAGTTAAGTCGTTGATGAGCAAAAAAGGTTTTACTTTTGTAAAATTTACCATTTTCATCAAAAGCACCAACTAAATAGTTTTAACAAGGTGATTGATGCCCTCAATAAATGAGTTACCTGATTTAACACTATGCATGCCTGGATGACATAGTTTGATACTCAGGAAGTTGTACCCAAAAGACTTATATTTCAAGTAGATTTATATTAAGTTAATAAGTGAAGGTGAACATATACTTGTGAATATATATTTATTTCATGCCTTGCAATTATATATTTTAGATTGTTCTTTACAAGAGCATGTTGTTCGTGAGATGCATTGTGAACAATATTTTGGACAAGATAAGACATTGACCCTATTATATGCTTATAATTACTAGTATAAGTTGCCAAGATATTTATCTAATTTTGTTAATAGATATGTTATCCCTCAGGGGTCTAAGAAAGCATAATTAAATATTGTATTGTATACTCCCTCATCAGTTTTTGATGTCCTGTGGTTGGATGTTGGTATGGATTTTGTGTTGATTTTGCCTCGTACTCAACAAATCATGAATTTTATTTTTATTGCTATGCACAAGTTCTAAAAGATGACTCATCTCATAGCCTTTCAGAAGACCATTGATGCATTCTGGATAACTCACTTTTACTTTAACGAGGTAGTTTATTTACAGTATATTTATAAATCCATCACTTTAAGTAGAGATGTGAAGTTCATGAGGAACTTCTAGAAGAATTTATAAGGTAAGATTGAGATTAAACTGAAATTAAACTACCTAACTTGTTTCTCATATCAAATAATTAAATGTTCAAGTTGACAGAATGGTATATTATTTACATGGTTTTCATAAGCAGGTTAAGAAGACAGTCACTAACAACAATGATTGGTATAAGATCTTGATTGATACTTATCATAATAGTGATGCTTGATATTGGTGATTTGGTATGGATAGTCCTTACCTGTAATAGATTTTTAGTGGGAGAGTACAACAAGTTTAAAAAGAGGGAAATGAATCTTTGTAAGGTGCTGTGAAAAATAAATGACAATACTCATAGGTTTCCCCTTCCTAATCATCTAAAAACTTCTGATATCTTTAATGTTAAACATTTGGCATCCTATCTCAAAAAATAGCAGGACTTAATAACAAGTTATCTCTAACTTAAAGAGAATAATATAATTGGGCTTATAAATATGGGTGGTTATAAGTATTCGTGTGATGATCTGACATTACTATATGAGGATTTGATCCAGATAGATCATATAGATGGCCTAAAAAATGTGTTTAGGTCTAGAAAAATATATGAAATGATCAGGACTTGTTAGCTCCTTAAAATTACAATAACAAGAGATTCAACCGTTGGATTTGGTTTGAATTTTTACAAGTTATTTTATGAGAAAATTTTCTTAGGTAGCGATTTCATTTCAAGAACCGATGCTCATGATTTTGTAGTTTTTATTATTTTTTCTATGTTGTTTTGGATTTTATTTTAATTTAGAATTCATGTTTATTTCCTTAAGATCGCTAGATTACTAGTTTTTTAAGAAAACAACCACCATATATATATATATATATATATATATATTCTAATCGCAAAAATAAAATGCTAAAAATTTAGAATGCATAAGCATTTATCATTTTTAATGATACACATATTATTTATATTTCATGTATATTAATCAAAATATGATAAATGAACTACCTTTTATTTCAAAAGTTATTGTAAGATGATGTTATTAGCCTGCTGGATTCATGTAAATTAGAAACACACATTCAATATAAAAAAATAACATTCAATATATCCAAATAGAAAAAAATTGCACGGGAATCACTCCTTCGTAACCATAAAATGAAATAAAAATTGGAAGATGCGGTACGCCCATGGAATTGCATGACTGTTGCTGAGCCAAAAAAGAAAACAAAATATTTCACTCAATTAATCACCCAAATCAACTTATTGGAGTTAGAACGAGGATCAATATGAAATTATCATCCATTTGATGTTAGAATTACAAGATTTCGAAAGCAAATCGTCCCAACAGTAACCCCTGCATTTCAAAATTATCAAACCCACACTGTTAAATTGTTCAAAGAGCACACGCTGCAATCAAATTCAAAGCCCTAAAAAATTGAGATGTTTACTCAAGTAGGGTTGGATGTATAGTGTATAAATACTGTCACCATATTGGTTTCGAATCCATAAACTAGGGTTTCCTAATCACTGTATATATATTCATCAAGTAAATGAAAAAAATACACTTCCAACAGCCACATGGCATCTTCAGCAGAGATATGGGGTATCTATACAGATCCCTATGTCTGTATACCCCAAAAAAAGAAAAGGAAAAATAAAAAATCCAAAGGGCAACACAAAATCAAGAGTCCTCAGTGAAAATAATTTGCTCTTACTTTTGCCTCTTACGCTCTCCTCTAAAAGGGTAAAAGAATCCAAAACAGAGAATCAGAAATATTTAACTGTTGTTACTGATTCACAGAGGGAAAAGGAGAAAAGAGAAGTCAACCGACCTTTTTGGAGGTTAATCAGTATTTTGTAAGGCTTCGAACAGTCCACATAATTTCAATTTATCTTCACCTTTTTTATATATATTTTTTGTGGGGGTTCACTGACTTCTCTCTCCTTTTTCTTGTCTGTACAAAATCTTTTTTAGGGCCTTTCGTTTTCTGCTTCTTGTTTGCTAATTTTTTTTTTTTATCTTTTCTCTTGTTCGTTCTCTTTGAAGCCTCTTCTCACCGAGTGTGAGGCAAGCATGCAAAGAACGAGATATTATTACTTTTTTCTTGGCTCAAACTAGGGTTCCCTGAAGTTTTTTCAACACAATTTAAGGCCTTTGAATGTTTTGAGTTTTGGAGTGAAACTTAAGGTTTCTTAGAGGGAGAGAGAGGGATAGAGAAGGAAGTGCCAAGCAGTAAAGAAGATTATAAAAAGGGTTTGCTTGCCTTCTTTCTCTTTCTTTCTCTCAGTTTTTCAGTAAAGAGAGGGAGTTGGAGACATTTGGATAGATATATTATCCTTCTGTCTCCTCTACCTCTCTATCCTCTTCTCCTTTCTTCTGAAAAAAGTTTTCCTTTTTTATTTTCTCCGAGAGAGACCCAGTTCAGGATTTCTTGTTTGGCCATCTGGGGTTTGGTTTTTGAATGACAATTTCAAGATTCAAACTTAGTTATTCTGTGCTACTTGTCAATCTAGAAAAAAAGGGGTTAAGTCTAGTGTAAAAATAGAGTAAACAGAAAAAAGGGCGTAAGCTTTAATGAGTTTTGGGGGTTTTCTTGAAAACACTAGTCCTGGTGGTGGTGGCGCAAGAATTGTAGCTGATATACCTTATAACAACAACAACATGCCCACTGGTGCAATAGTTCAGCCTCGCCTTGTTTCTCCTTCTATCACTAAATCCATGTTCAACTCTCCTGGACTCTCACTGGCTCTTGTACTTATCTTCTTCTCTCTCTCTCTCTCTCTCTCTTTTTCCCGGCTACCTGGTGATATGGGGCTGTTTGTTTGTGGAAGTCTTTAACTTTTGTGCTCTTGCTTATGTTTTGTTTAATTCTCTTGATCAGCAACAACCAAACATAGATGGTCAAGGAGATATAACTAGAATGTCTGAGAACTTTGAGACAAGTGTGGGTAGGAGAAGCCGAGAAGAAGAACATGAGAGCAGATCTGGTAGTGATAACATGGATGGTGCCTCTGGTGATGACCAAGATGCAGCTGATAATCCTCCAAGAAAAAAGAGATACCACCGACACACTCCACAACAAATCCAAGAACTCGAAGCGTATGATATCTATCACAAATTTGCACTATCAACAAGATTTTTTGAGTGATATTTAGAGATTGTGTTATGCTGTTGCTTTTGTTTGTTATACAGTTTGTTTAAGGAGTGTCCTCATCCTGATGAGAAACAAAGATTGGAACTTAGTAGAAGGCTGTGCTTGGAGACCAGGCAAGTGAAGTTCTGGTTTCAAAATCGTCGAACCCAAATGAAGGTAATGAACGATAATTAACAATCCGTAGATGTTTTTCCTTTCTGGGCTGGAATTTTACGGATCGAAACTTAAAGTTATCTGCTTGTTTGCTGCAACAGACTCAATTGGAGCGCCATGAGAACTCATTACTCAGGCAAGAGAACGACAAGCTTCGAGCGGAAAACATGTCCATAAGAGATGCTATGAGAAATCCAATGTGCTCAAACTGTGGTGGTCCTGCAATAATTGGTGATATTTCCCTTGAAGAGCAGCATCTGAGGATTGAGAATGCTCGGTTAAAAGATGAACTAGATCGAGTGTGTGCGCTTGCTGGCAAGTTCTTGGGTCGCCCCATATCTTCGTTGGCTTCTTCACTTGGCCCTCCGATGCCAAATTCAAGCTTGGAGCTTGGTGTTGGTAGTAATGGTTTTGCTGGTTTAAGCACTGTAGCTACAACATTGCCTTTGGGACCTGATTTTGTAGGTGGGATTTCTGGTGCTTTGCCTGTACTAGCTCAAACTAGACCAGCGACTACTGGTGTTACTGGGATTGGTAGATCACTGGAGAGATCCATGTTCTTGGAGTTGGCTTTGGCTGCCATGGATGAATTGGTTAAGATGGCTCAGACTGATGAGCCTCTTTGGATCAGGAGCTTTGATGGTGGTAGGGAAATATTGAACCATGAGGAGTACTTGAGAACTATCACTCCTTGCATTGGAATGAAGCCTAGTGGCTTTGTTAGTGAGGCTTCGAGAGAGACTGGGATGGTAATCATCAACAGTTTGGCCCTAGTTGAGACACTGATGGATTCAGTGAGTTATTCCAAATCTCTCATTATTAGTGTCCTTTTTCATGATAAACTAAAACTTGATTTTTTTGTTGGATTGTTAAGATACACACATTTTTAATGTCACTGGAAATTAAATTGTGTTTTGCTCTCTCTTTACTAGAACCGATGGGCAGAAATGTTTCCTTGCGTGATTGCCAGGACCTCTACAACTGATGTGATAGCCAATGGAATGGGGGGAACTAGAAATGGTTCGCTTCAGTTGGTAAGCTACTCGTCTTTTATTCTACTGCTGTTATCAACATTTCTACTCTTTTATGTGGTCTTTGCTAGCAACCAGTTTAGCAGTTTTTTTAATGCTAAATTAAAACATTCTTAGATGCACGCGGAGCTCCAAGTCTTATCCCCTTTGGTTCCTGTTCGTGAGGTCAATTTTCTCCGATTTTGCAAGCAGCACGCCGAGGGGGTTTGGGCTGTTGTTGATGTGTCTGTCGATACCATCAGAGAAACTTCTGGTGCGCCACCGACATTTGTGAACTGTAGGAGGCTTCCTTCTGGCTGTGTGGTGCAAGATATGCCCAATGGGTACTCTAAGGTAATAATATAAAAACTATTGTTCATTATGGTTTCTAGCATGCCCGGATGGTACCTGTTTTTTCTTTAAATTTGTTGTGTTTATCCTGGTGGGTGTTCTGCCCCTTTTGTCTTTAATGAGTTTGGTGGAAGTAATTGCAACAATGCAGTTTCATTTGAGAGCATTTAATTTTGTGGTAAAACACCAGGTCAAAAATCATGAGCATTTGCATTCCCAAGCCGCTTAGAGAGCTCACCAATCTAAGAGTCTTGTTTGCCTAGTGAATACTCACTGTTATCCCCACACTGTCACTGTCTGAACCTTCCTAGAGTCGTATAATATTGTCTTTGATGTCAAATTACTGTTTAAATCTCAAGTTTCAACAACTAGGGTTGCTTAATCAATTAAAAGATTGTTATGGTACAGCAGCAGATCGAGATCACACCATCTATTTTATCAAATAGAAGTCCCCATTACTCGAATTCTGGTGTCTTGAACACATTGATTTCATATCCTTCATTAGTAAATGCCTAGTTATCCTCAATTTTGATTGAATAAACAATATATTTGATGCTTCTATTCCAATGATCCAATCTTTGATGTACTCTTGGTTATCTTCTCTATCTTATATTTAATCATGTTACAGCATATGACCTGGTTCCAGCCTTATGATTTTCTTTCCTTTTTTAACTAAATGAAGAGACCTAATTGTCAAAGCCCGAGACTGCCTACTTTGTTTCCATTCGAGTATCCAAGCTGATATAGACAATAGTACACGCATATCGATGTCATCTTCTACGGTGTACTTTGTTCCCTCAAATCTTGCAAATTTTTTATTTCTATTTCATTACTTTATTTTTATGCCAGGACTACTTGATTCCATTTCTTTATTTGAGCCCAACCTAAAGCCCTTTACCTGGATTTCCCTTCTATTTTAATATGGAAAAATAGTTTGTGAATGACATTATAAAAATGGTCTCCCTTCGTTTCTTTCTTTCTTTCTTTGAAAGTGTTATCCATCGACATAATATATGTATGTATTATAATATAATAAAATGGCCCCGAGGAAGGTTTATACTTTATAGCGTGCTAGAACCTCCTACATACTGTTGCAGTTTGTTCAATCTTCTGCGAAGTTTGACCGGTGGAACTGGCATTTGCTCTTTTATGTTGTGTGGCTTTAGTTCCTAATCATTAGCTACGGGAAAAAGATCTTTTTGCTGAATAGTAGAGAGGCAATCAGTTCACTTGTAGCAATAATGAAAATAATTTTTTTCCAACTTGAGAAGTTGGTGCAATCAACCCTATCACAACTAACAAAAACTATTAAAATGCAGGTTACATGGATTGAGCATGCAGAATATGATGAAAGCCAAACACACCAGCTCTATCGGCCGTTGATAAGTTCTGGCATGGGCTTTGGGGCCCAACGATGGATTGCCACTCTCCAACGCCAGAGCGAGTGTCTAGCCATTCTCATGTCCTCTAATGTACCCAGTCGAGACCACACAGGTTAATATTGATTTTAATTTCCTAAACAATTTGTGGCATCCTTTAGCTTTGCCAAAAGAACCGTCGTTGACATGGAAGGTGTTGATGTAGCTATAACTGCAAGTGGTCGCCGAAGCATGCTGAAGCTGGCGCAAAGAATGACGGCTAACTTCTGTGCCGGGGTTTGTGCCTCAACAGTGCACAAATGGAACAAGCTAAATGCAGGAAATGTCGATGAAGATGTTAGGGTTATGACCAGAAAGAGCGTTGATGATCCTGGTGAGCCACCAGGCATTGTTTTGAGCGCTGCTACCTCTGTCTGGCTACCTGTATCTCCACAGAGACTCTTTGATTTCCTCCGCGATGAACGGCTCAGAAGCGAATGGGACATCCTCTCCAACGGCGGACCAATGCAGGAAATGGCCCACATTGCCAAAGGCCAAGATCATGGCAACTGTGTCTCCCTCCTACGGGCTAGCGTAATCTCTCTCTCCCCCTTCCCTCAACAACTATTTCATAATTTACATATCCGTTACAAAGTTTCCTTTTTCTCTCGTGTTTGTGGACCGTTAGGTCAAATTGTCTGTCATGAAAACAATTTTCATTGCATTATAATTTCATCCATAACATGCCATAAAAATCTTATGTTAGGCAGCACATGTTTTTTTTGGACATTAATGTTATGGGGAGTATAATTTAAACGTCTGGTGTGTCTGTCCGGGGGCGTGTAAGGTCCCCCATTAGTGTTTGTCGTGGTTATATAAAAGGTGAAATATAAATAAAGGACGAGTTCGGAATTTGGAAGTATCTGTAGAGTCACAGACAGGACCAGATTTTAGGGACAGTTTCTATCTTTAACTTGTAAGCTTCAAAAAGTCAAAATAAAAAAAACACGCGTCACCTTTTATGTGATAAACCTGATCTCGTCTTGTCCTTTTGACTCCGATGCCACCCTTAAAACAGAGGTAAAAACGTCATGTAATGTAAATTCAAGTCAAATTCGGGGACCATCTTGTGATTCACTGCTTCTCTCTTGGCAGGCCATGAATTCTAACCAGAGTAGCATGTTGATACTGCAAGAGACTTGCATAGATGCAGCAGGGTCACTTGTTGTGTACGCTCCCGTTGACATTCCTGCCATGCACGTGGTGATGAATGGTGGCGATTCGGCCTACGTGGCTCTTCTTCCGTCAGGTTTCGCTATCGTACCAGATGGGCCTGGTTCGCGTGGGCCCCCAACAACCAACGGCGGCCCAACTGCTAATAATAATAGCAATGGTTGTGGCCCAGATAGGGTGAGTGGGTCCCTCTTGACGGTGGCGTTCCAAATATTGGTGAATAGTCTTCCTACAGCCAAGCTCACGGTAGAATCGGTGGAGACAGTTAACAACCTCATTTCATGCACTGTCCAGAAGATCAAGGCAGCTCTGCAGTGTGAAAGCTGATCATCATCCGAATATTGCATGATTGAGCTTCGTCCTATTAGTGAGTCTTCATTAGTTTTTAATTTTAACATGGTGTGTTGATCTGTTTATTTTATGGTGTCAAGGGTGGTTGGTGTTAAAAGGGAGGGAGAGAGAGCGCGCGCCTTGGTAAATGAGTGTGGTAAAGACTGGGAAAAACAAAAAATGTGACTAGTCTTGATGTTGATGTTTGCGGGTGTTGAGTCAAGAACGAACCGCGCGTGGAGACTCCTTGCAAGGCGGTGAGGACTTATGGGTCTGTGACTGTGACTACTGGCTGCTTGGGTGCAGTGGCATGCATGCAGCGAACAAAGTCCTTAGCACAAGGCAAGGGTGCTGGTTCGGGTATTGACTCAAGTTCGACCCCTGGCTGGATTATTAGCAGTACAAAAATCAAAAACAAAAATGTTCAAGAAAAAAAAAAGGGTCTTTTGATATTTATTAATTTAATATCCTCCTTTTTATTGCCTTTTTTTTATTTGGTCAGATGCTTTGTTGAACTTGCAATGACACCGGTTCGGTTTGTTGATGTTTGTTAACTTGTGAGGTTTTGTATTAATCTGATATTCGAAGTTTACTAGTAATAACCTCTTTGTTTTTTCGGATTCCTTGTATGTTTCTTCCTCTTTATAACACTTGATCAAGTTTAGTTTTTTGAATCCTAAGTATGGCTGTCTGTTCCAATAATCTTGTTTGGTTTAGAAGGTTTAGATAAAACTACAATCTGAACAAATAAAAATAAATAATGTTTTTTTAAAATGAATTTGAATGAAATGCCGTTTCAACACGGCCTCTAACAAGTAACGCGCTCTCGTTAAGTTTGGTGTAGGTTGTGGAAACGCGTTGCTTAGGGTTGGGTGGTGAGAGGAGGGGGGGTGGGGGGTCTGCTGATGAGCTGCAGAGGCAATAAATGACAGAGCAGAAGCTGTTGGGAGGAAGCGTTGCATCATTTAAAGCTGAGAGCTTAGGTCTGTCTCTAGCTTACGTGTACACCCCACTGATAATCCGACACGTGTCTTGAAGGCTTTACGTGACAGCGAGGGAGGGAGGGAGATTATGTATGCATGAAATGATAGATGGTAACCTTGTTTTCGTGTGTTGCTATTTTAATGCTCCTTCTGGTCAGTTTGCTTGCGTGGATTGTTGCTGGAAACCAAAATCTTTCCGATTGGGAGAGAGAGGGATTTTGCTGGAGGATTGAATGTTGTCTGCTTGTAATACTCTCTCCGTCCTTGTCGTTGTTCTTGTTCTTATTTTCATTTTTTCCAAAATACATTGTGAGGTATATATTCACTTCTCCTGGCCATATTCTGTGTGTTTATTGGTATTTATAAGAAAATAAAAAAATCGGAAGGGACAAATAAAATAACGTTGTTGAAAAATTGAAGAAACTCCGGATGATGTGCCATGTAGTAAGATACTTAGCTCGGCTCATTCCCCATCTGGAAGAAATAAAAATAATTATCAAAGAAACTGTTTTGTATGCTCCGGTGAGCTTTAAAAGTCACACGATGAGCTTCATGGGATAGGTATATCCTTCGTCCCTTCACGAGTGAGCTTCTTTCCTCTTCTAGCTGCCCAGAAACATTCATCCATTCTCAAATCTCTGTGAATGAACTCTGAAGTTGAACATTAATGTCTCCGTCATTTTTATTTTTTAAAGGTAAAAGCACTGGAGTAAGAATTTTCATGAGAGAGGATTAAATGTTACGTGTTTGGTAGTGTGAAAGTTTTTTTTTTTTTTTGCGTGTTTTAAAAGTTTTATTTTAAAACATTAAATTATTATTTTTAATATTTTATGATGGTTTTGATATATTATTATCAAAAATTTAAAAAAACATATATTTTCAAGAGATAAATGCTTTTAAAAATATCTTTTACTACGTCACTGAAATGCACTAGTGATCTCGCAAGTGAACCGCGTATAGCAAAACTCTTTGCTTCCAATGTCATCGCTGACAATGACATTTGAGGATCAGGTGGTGCGGATTGTCATTTGAAGATCAGGTGGTGCGTGCCGCACCACCCAAATAGACCGAGCGCCTCTCCTTTATTAGCCCGGCTACATATGCACCACCAACTTTTTATTTTTTTTATTGTTTTTATAGTTGTTCAAAGATTTAATTGTTCCTCATTCAAGTTGATAATATGAAAAAAAAATCACATGGAAAATACTCAAATAGCCCTAACCATTAGCTTTGTTTTCTAGAAATCCAAGGGCAGTACGATCAGATCATTTAACTGTGTATTTGAATGTAAAAATACCAAAAAACCCTTGTACTGAACTTTATTTAATTTTTTTTAATTTTCAGAATATCTTGTTAATGTAAAATATAGGACTTCTTCAACTCCTAGTAGCATGACAATGACAAATAAATTCCAATGAAAAATACATTTATACCAATAAGCCATATGTTATGAGTTTTTCGGAAAAATAATATTTTTATTGCTCTAATCTACAATAAATTATATCTCGGTATACAGTAAATTATTAAGACTTTTTGGTGTTTTGCATATCTAGATACACGGCACGTGCTTCTCCGCTACTGAGGTTGATTTTTTTATAATTAAAAAAATATTAAATCATTGCTAACATGTTTAAATATATATAAAAATAAAATCCATGATTGAGTTATGCATCATTTTGAATCCAATAATATGATTTTATTTGATTACATGATAAAAAAAACAAGGGTAGTAAATTGATTAAATTTAGAAAGAAAAGGTGATACGATGACATACAACAAAAGAAACGATTGCTAAAAATAAAATAAAATTATGAAGCTTAATACAAAAATAATTTAATGTTAAATAATAAAATTAAAAAAAAAAATAATAATCTGAGTCAACCCAAGTTAGCATGACAAACATGAAACTCGATAATCTGAGTCAATCCAAGTTAGCATGACAAACATGAAACTCGGGTAATGAGGTTGAAATAAACTTACATAAAGCAAAAAAAATAAAATAAAATAACAACATTCAATTTCAAACAATCAAAAATACAGATAAAAAAATAGTCAATAAAAAGAACCTCTAAAAAATAAAATACTCGCAAACTCATGTAAGACTGTTAATCCTTACAAGTTTAATTATCTGAATGAGATAACTTAATAGAAGATAAGATGAAAAGAAAAGAAAGATCAATTCCCTAATAAATAAAATATTGATAAGTGAAGCTGAAAAATAATTCAATCTTAAAATAATTACCTTAAAAAAAAAGATGTGACCTAACCTCGAATAACTTGTTTAACCCGCGACTTAGATTACTAGACTAGAATAAATTTTTAAAGAGTAAATAGAAAAAATCACGAAGCTCAGTTTTCGATAGACCCAGTATCAAAGGATGCAATAAAAATAAAATTAATGTAAAAAAAAGTCTAAAAAAATAGATATAAATCTTGATTAATATTTTAGACCCGTGACTTGAATCATGAGACCGAGATCACCACATTTAAAACTACAAAGAAGATTAATCTCCATTAATTTATCTTGATATATAATATTGAAAAAATAATCAATTTTTAAGTAAATAATCTAAAGCAAACAAGATGATTTTAAAAAATAAATATCAAATTTGAAACAAAAACAAAAATGGCCTCAAACCTTTTATTTGTGGTAGAGCAACTTGAATAACAGAGAGAGCGGCGGGGGGGGGGGGAAAAAAAAAAAGGGGCCACGGTGCACATCCACTCAGCATAGACATGCGTTATGTCATTGGGAAGATCTCGCGACGAAACCTCCAATGAAATGGCAGGCGATTGTGTTTTGCCGACAAAATTCACCTCGCGCTCCGCTAGATCATGGCGGTCAGCTTCTACACGCTCTTGTATGTAACACTTGTGCAGCCAAGTTACTTATCCGTTTATTATTGTTCATCATATTTGTTTTAATTTTAGTTTTAGTATCTCAAAATTTCATTTTTTTACATAAGCTTTATTTTATTTTATTTTGTGAAACTGATTATCAACTAAGCATTAAAATTTCCTCTCAACATTGCAAGAATACTAAGGAAAACAAAACAAGTTATAAATTTAAATATTAAATAAAATTAATGTAAAATAATCAAATAACAATAAAAATAATATAGTAACCGATAAAATAAAATTTTAATAACAGTGTAAAATAATCATTGATACTAGCACACAAAAGAGATTTAATATTTATTCATGCTTCGAGTTTAGTCCATTAAATACTTTTTATAAATTAAAAATTAAAAATTTTATTTTATAATAACAAGATATAAAAACAAAACACCATGATCAATCTCAAATCATGCCATGTCAATGAACCAATTTTAAAAAGAAACATTGAGTGGCTGAAATGAAACAAATTGAAGAAACACGCACTGTAGCTGCAATCATTACTGATTTTCCATTACCAAAAAATACGACAACACTTTTGTAGAATGTCTCATATAATTAATAGCCTGGTGGCCTCAAAATGTCACCCTATTAGCTGCCCTGACTCCTGCTGATGATTTGCAAGAACCGTGATGATGAAGGATGAACTGCGAGCAATGGTTTTCTTTAATTCCTGAAGTTATCGCAGTGGTAACAAGTATACAGGATTTTACACCTCCAAGTATCTCCTAGGTACAGGATTCGAATCCCATCTCCTCAAAATTAATTTCTCAGTTTTTTTTTTTTTAAAATATACTGTAATACCAATAAAAAAAAAGTAAGATGGATAGCAGCCCTAAAAAACAATATACTGTAATACCAGTAAAAAAAAAGTAAGATGGATAGCAGCCCTCGGGAAATGCAATCTCTATCTATTTGTCAAGCAAAGGTGATGGGATTGACTTCTACCAATCGGAACAATGAATACACAGTGAGTTCATTGGAACATGATTGTTGAATCTTCCTGTTCATGCCTAATAAACAGAATTAGATGTACGTCTTTTTACAGTCCCATCGGGCAAAGATAGTTCAATAACATGTATTTGCTTCCATGTGTTTTTGGTTCTCAAAACCATTGGAAAGAAATCTTTGCACAATGACAAGACTAAAAAAGAGTTTTGATAAAATAGAATGATTTGATCTGTATCGCGATTAGAAATAGCGTTTTTGTAGAAAGTCATGTTTTATAATAGTGAATCATATAGGAATTGTTAAAATAAACGGGCATAAATTTCAAGGAAAATGAAAGGGAGAAAACCACACGTAAGCTCGTCGAAGTTTCAATTATATTATTATGAATATCATTTAAAACATGTCGATGAAAATTTATCAATATTTTTTTAATTTGATTTCAATAATAATAATAAATATCATCAACAATGGATGATGGAACCAATAACACTTTTTATTCAAATATAACTAAACAATTGCAAGGTCATTACTCCAAAAAAAAAGTGTATCAAATTATGTTAATTTTCTCTAACTTTTTCAAATTATGTTATTTTATCAAAAAAATTTATAAAAAAACAATGCTAACTAAAAAAAGCTTAGCTTCCTTTCTAATGAAACAACATATTTTATACTTTTTTTTTAATCTAAAATCTATGCTTGAAACAAGAAATCAAAGGAGAGTGACAAACCCAATATGTTTTAGATTAATCAAGCTTCAAACCTAAAAATATGTATATGGTGAGCTTCCATAC